AGTGATTTATAATAGGCACTGCCAATCCTTGTGTTACTTTTCCTCCTGTTTGCTGCTGTCTAATAAATGCAAAAGAAGGAGGAAAAGTAACACAAGGATTGGCAGTGCCTATTATAAATCACTATATGCTGATGAGTTTCCACAACCAAAGGTCAGTGTGTGTGTGTGTGTTTGCATGTTTACTCATGCAGGCGTGTGCACGTGTGTGTGTGTGTACAGACATATGCGTGCATTAGCGAGTGTGTGACGGCCTTACTCCTCTGCAGCGAGGACCCAACACGTCCAGGCCCACAAAACTATTTATGCTAATCCCGCCCGCTCGCTGAAAAGCACTTCCTTTACATTTTCTTTACATTTTTCCAATAAATATTAAACACTATTACAATGAAATGAGATTCTCTAACTCCCTCTCCCTCTCTTTACCCCTCCCCCCCACACACACACACACACACACTAACTCTTCTGTCTTTCATCTCCTCGCTCTCGCTCGCTTCAGTTTAGCATATTTGCGGCTCGCCTGTTGTCTAAACAGGAGATGAGGATGCAGAATACAGCAGACGGGATCAAGAGGACCACGAGGTCCCGGCGCAGCGTTTGTGAGGGTTGCGGATAAATTTATTCCAAACAGGAGGTGGGTGTTATGTTTAAAAGGAGAGGAGTGCTTCGACGACGACAACAAAACGACTCAGTGACACTCGCTCTGCAGCCGAATAGCTGCAGCAGGAAGATGAATTAAACCGGATCGACAATAATTCAGCGCGTTCAGACGGTCATAACTCTAAAATCTGCTCCACAAAGTCGGCTTCAACAACAGGAAGTCGGCCTGACAAATAGCTGTAGTATAAATATGAGCTGAAGTCAGGTGTTGGAAACGTTTGTAGGATGTGATTTCAGATGGAAGGACAGGCTTTAATATATAAGCAATACAGTTTGAACACAACTCCTAATAGCTGCGACTCAGAGTGTATTTTACACTAGTTGCTTCCAACATAACTAAATTAGTTTTTAATTGGGCTTTGAGCTCTTCCAAAACACTTGGATCTTGGAACAGCAGGATTGTGATTGGGTGCTTATTTTTCTCCCTCAGTTTGGAGAAATTTTTAACCAATTGGAGATCTCTGTGGGCGGGATTAAATCTCCCTGTGTCCAGAGCGAGAACCATAAGCTGCCTTTCCAAATCGCTTTATTTTTCTATTCACTTTTACTTCATACAGCAGCTTCCCCTCACTAAGTACCTACTAATTTGAGATTTACGACTTGCTGATAACGCGGCAAATTTGACCTTCTTGCTCATTTATCCACTGCGCAAAGAATTGTGGGTTGAATAGCCACAAAAGCATGCTGGCTTTCATACTGCAAATTGCGACCTGATGTAAGCGAGCAACATATCCTCCAACAACGCCTCGTATGATATCCTACGATATCCTCCTCATTTGTTGTGCGTTTGTCTTACAAAAGTCCAGCAACACGTGTAGATTTCTGCTCGGTACATGAATACAGTCTTTTCAAAATAAAGTTCCGTCTTCACAGGAAACTCAGACAGGTTTAGGAAATAAAAAATCATTGTTTGGGCTGAAATAACCACAGACACATCCGCCCGTCTTGTGATTCAGCGATCTTTATACTTTCTCATTCATGATACTTTTTTTAGAGATATCTACAGATTACGGCGTATTCTTTTTCGTAGGTAGAGCTGCGAACGCTGGATGAGAACAGCCTGAGTAGAACATCCTGGTATTTTTGTCTTGGGACATGCAAGATCTTTGTGGCATGCTAAATAGTGTAGTAGTAGTAGCAGTTGTAGTAGTAGTAGTGCAATACATCAGAAAACATAGTGAAGGGGCCTCTGTTTGAGATGTTACTGTCGGTATTTTCATTTTCATTTACCTCCATGTGTTTTTCCTGTTTTTTCTCTTTAAGAAGCAGTTTCAGTAGAAATGACCAGACACTGACAAATATCATTTTGTTATCATCATTATCGTTGTCATGATGTCAGTTTGGTCAGCTTCAGAAAGCAAAATTCTTTTCCCTGAGAGTTTATTTCCAGATGGAGGAGAAAGAGAGAATCCTAAGTCTCTATTGTTTCTGCACTGCTGGTTTTTATGCACTGATCCCTCCCTCCCGCCCTCTCTCTCTGTCTCTCTGTCTCTCTCCCTCTCTCTCTGTCTCTCTCTCTCTCTCCCCCTCTCTCTCTGGCGGGTCGAGCCTGGCTGGATCCATATTGACTCAGAGGGCTCTACAGACACAGTAGGACAAATATTTGCTAAAAAGCTTTTCTTTCAAAATACATGGAAAGCCGTGGAGTGGCTGCAGAGAAAGAGATGGAGGATGTGGAGGGAAGGGGTGAGATGGAGAGAAAAAGCCAGAAAACAAGTGTGAGGTCGACGGAGAGGAAGAGGAGGGGCAGTGTGAAGAGAGAAGCAGAAGATTAAAGTGAGTTACAAAGAAACAGGGAGATAAAAGGGGGAGACCAACAGAAAGACACTAAGAGACAACACGCAAGAGAGACGAGAAATTAAAAACGTGAAATCACAGCGCCAAAACTTTTTAATATGCTGATCAAGAAAACTTCTCCATTTTAAATTTTTAATGGCGTATGCTAAAAAAAGAGGGACAAATGTGTCCAGTATGGTGGCCTCAGCATCGTGTCTCTTGGTGCGCTGATCCCTTCTTTGAGCTGTGACCTCCAGCAACATGATGCTGGATATGAAGCGGTCGGTTTAGGGCGTGTAAAAGATTGATGCCAGGAGGGGGATGACCTTTCAGACCTTTGGGTCAGTTTATTTGGTCCAGACAAAGGAAACAGGTGGTGTGCTTTATGCTACCGGGTTAGCCTTCGTGCTAACGTTACTGTCAGTACCCGATCGGTCCCTGCTCCTGGATCCATTCTGAAGACCCCTATTCTGCCTCTGATTGGCTACTGGCTGCTAAACGCTAACGTTAGCCTAGCTATGATGCCAACCGGCGCTTGGAAACGAGACAGGCCCGGGTGGAGCGACTCAGCTCACGTTTTTGATTCCAGTCGTCTGAAGGAAGGTCAACCGGTCCGAAATTCGTCACGACTTTTTGAGGCGAGAAATCAACTGTCGATTTTGAATATCGGCCGTTTGATGTTCCAAAGCTCACGATGGATGGATGGTCGAACAAATTGAGGGTTTTTTGATTGCCGCTTAACAAGAACCAACGAAACTCAGAGAATCCAAAGGAGAACCCGTTTTCTCTCAGAAGCTAATGTTGCTTCTGTCTTCTGTGTCCGTCGTCTCTCACGTTCAAGGTCGACCAACAGGAGGCACAAAAAGTGACCTCTTTATCTACCGGTTTGTTTTCTCTCTCTCTCTCTCTCTCTCTCTCTCTCTCTCTCTCTCTCTCTTCATGCATTTCTCCGTCTGTCACTCAACATCCTCTTTCAGGAAAGGGTGACCGACACGGGATAAACAAAGAGAAGAGGATCTGCTCTTCTCTTTCTTTTAATTCCCCCCTTCACTTTCTCTCTCTCTCTCTCCTCCTCCTCTCTCACTCTCAAGCTTGATCTCTCTTTCTCTCTCCCACTATCTCTCTCACTCTTAAATCTCCCTCTCCTAAAAACAAAATCCTCTTAACTCTCCTCCACCTCCTCATCTCCACAATCTAATTACCGAGACCTGCCGTGAAGAGAGGGATGGAGGGAGGGATGGAGAGAGGGAAGGCAGGCAGGGGGGGAGGAGGAGAGGATAGAGGAGAGTGGAGGTTGTTAGTGTGGTGGCTATGTCAGTGTTTTTAAACAGTAAAGCTCTTTGAAAGGAGAGAGAGACGCCGTTTCAGCGCCAGAACTTAGTTAATCATCACATTTCAAATGTTAAGTCAAATGTTAAAATACAAATAACTCATGTATCCGATCAATGAATACCAGACCAATCAGACCAGATATTCAATGCCAGCGTTTATTCTATATTTAGTGCAGAAAAGTACTGAAGCTTGTTACGCAGCTTTAAACATGAGAATCATAGAGGGATGGAAAAGATAAATATTTACGTTCGATCACGAGATAACCTCCGTTGTGATTTGGTGCGATATAAATAAAACTGACTTGACTTCTGAGTTATTATCTTGAGTTGGTGAAAGTAACTACAGGAGTGTTAACACAACAGTGGGAAAAATGTCTGCTATCATTAACATTAACACAATAAATCCACCTAAAATAAAATGAGTTTCTGGTTTTACATCCAAATGAAAATGCACAAAAGTGGGAAAAAGTAACCACACACACCCTCTGCACAACTCTTCTCTATTAATATACACTTGACACTTTAATAACATACTTGCTTTACAATACTCTTATTTATTTACCATATTTTATTGTAAATGTTCATATTTTTTTACTATCACCCACCAATCACTGGGCCAGATTCCTCGTATGTGTAACGTACCTTCTCATTCTGATTCAAGGAGTTATGTTTTCGGTTTGGTTTGGTTGTTCATCGTTTGGTCAGCAGGATTACGGAAATACCTACT